CTGCGGCAGCCTGGGAATGCTGAAAACCGGGAATGCTGAGCACTGGGAATGCTGAAAACCGGGAATGCTGAGCACTGGGAATGCTGAGCACTGGGAATGCTGAGCATTGGGAATGCTGAGCACTGGGAATGCTGAGCACTGGAAATGGGAACCTGGGAATGGGAACTGGGAATGCTGAGCACTGGGAATGCTGAGCATTGGGAATGCTGAGCACTGGGAATACTGAGCACTGGGAATGGGAACCTGGGAATGGGAACTGGGAATGCTGAGCATTGGGAATGGAAACCCTGGGAATGGGAACCCTGGGAATGCTGAAAACCGGGAATGCTGAGCACTGGAAATGCTGAGAACTGGGAATGCTGAGCACTGGGAATGGGAACCTGGGAATGGGAACCTGGGAATGCTGAAAACTGGGAATGCTGAGCATTGGGAATGGGAACCTGGGAATGGCGAGCACTGGGAATGAACACCCCGGGAATGCTGAGAACTGAGAATGCTGAGCATTGGGAATGAGAACCCTGGGAATTCTGAGCATTGGGAATGCTGAGCATTGGGAATGAGAACCCTGGGAATTCTGAGCATTGGGAATGGGAACCCTGGGAATTCCGAGCACTGGGAATGAACACCCCGGGAATGCTCGGGAAGGAGCAGGAGCCGGGGGAAGCCAGGGAAGGGCCGGGGGGCTCCTGGCGCTCCCTGACATTCCCGATCCCAGAGATCCCGCTCCCCATCCCAATCCTGGAGAGTGGAAAAGCTCCCCCCTTGTCCCTCCCTGGGCCACCGGAGAGCCTGGATGTTCCGGAGCATTCCCGGAATCCCCAGCCATGAATTCCGGCTGCTTCCCAGAGCCAAAGCACCACGCTGGGATCAGGAATGGGATCAGGGATGGGATCAGAGCTGGGATCAGAGCCGGGATCAGGGATGGGATCAGAGCTGGGATCAGAGCCGGGATCAGGGATGGGATCAGAGCTGGGATCAGGAATGGGATCGGGGCTGGGATCAGGAATGGGATCAGAGCTGGGATCGGGGCTGGGATCAGGAATGGGATCAGAGCTGGGATCAGGACTGAGATCAAGAATGGGATCAGAGCTGGGATCAGGAATGGGATCAGAGCTGGGATCAGGAATGGGATCGGGGCTGGGATCAGGAATGGGATCAGGACTGAGATCAAGAATGGGATCAGGGCTAGGATCAGGACTGGAATCAGGGCTGGGATCAGGGCTGGGATCAGGAATGGGATCAGGACTGGGATCAGGACTAGGATCAGGACTGGGATCAGGACTGGGATCAGGACTGGGATCAGGACTGGGATCAGGGCTGCAGCTCCTGCCCTGGCTCCCACCCCGGCGCTGTCGTGCCCGGAATTCCAAGCAGGCTCAGCCCAGCCCAGATGCCGGGCGGACACTCCAGGAGGACAAGCCAGGCTTTATTCCCTGCTCCATCCCAGCCTGGCAAAGGCCTCGGGACACAGACCCGGCTCTGTTCCTCCCCCGGCATCCCGGGATGCAGCACCGGGAATGGCCCTGCTGGAATATCCCGGGATGCAGCACCGGGAATGGCCCTGGCAGTGCTGGAATATCCCGGGATGCAGCACTGGGAATGGCTCTGGCAGTGCTGGAATATCCCGGGATGCAGCACCGGGAATGGCCCTGGCAGTGCTGGAATATCCCGGGATGCAGCACCGGGAATGGCTCTGGCACTGCTGGA